GAAGAGAGAGTGGTGAAGCTATGTAAAAAGAGAGCAAATGAGAGAGTGGGTGAGATGTTATCAAAAAATTTTGTTGAAAATAAGAAAAAGTTTTGGAGTGAGATTAACAAGTTAAGGAACCCTAGAGAACAAATGGATTTGTCAGTTAAAATAGGAGAGGAGAGTTATTAAATGGAGAGTTAGAGGTATTGGGTAGATGGAGGGAATATTTTGAGGAATTGTTGAATGTTGATGAAGATAGGGAAGCTGTGATTTCGTGTATAGGGCAAGGAGGAATAACATCTTGTAGGAGTGAGGAAGAGCCAGTTGTGAGTGTGGGGGAAGTTCGTGAGGCAGTAGGTAAAATGAAAGGGGGTAAGGCAGCTGGGATTGTTGGGATAAAGATAGAAATGTTAAAAGCAGGTGGGGATATAGTTTTGGAGTGGTTGGTGCAATTATTTAATAAATGTATGAAAGAGGGTAAGGTACCTAGGGATTGGTAGAGAACATGCATAGTTCCTTTGTATAAAGGCAAAGGGGACAAAAGAGAGAACAAAAATTCTAGGGAGATATGTCTGTTGAGTATACCTGGTAAAGTGTATGGTAGAGTTATTATTGAAAGAATTAAGAGTAAGACAGAGAGAAGGATAGCAGATGAACAAGGAGGCTTTAGGAAAGGTAGGGGGTGTGTGGACCAGGTGTTTACAGTGAAACATATAAGTGAACAGTATTTAGATAAGGCTGAAGAGGTTTTTGTGGCATTTATGGATTTGGAAAAGGCATATGACAGGGTGGATAGGGGAGCAATGTGGCAGATGTTGCAGATGTATGGTACAGGAGGTAGGTTACTGAAAGCAGTGAAGAGTTTTTACGAGGATAGTGAGGCTCAAGTTAGAGTATGTAGGAAAGAGGGAGATTATTTCCCAGTAAAAGTAGGCCTTAGACAAGGATGTGTGATGTCACCGTGGTTGTTCAATATATTTATAGATGGGGTTGTAAGAGAAGTTAATGCAAGGGTCTTGGCAAGAGGTGTGGAGTTAAAAGATGAAGAATCACGCAAAAAGTGGGTGTTGTCACAGTTGCTCTTTGCTGATGACACTGTGCTCTTGGGAGATTCTGAAGAGAAGTTGCAGAGGTTGGTGGATGAATTTGGTAGGGAATGTAAAAGAAGAAAATTGAAAGTGAATAATGGAAAGAGTAAGGTTATGAGGATAACAAAAAGATTAGGTGATGGGAGATTAGATATCAGATTGGATGGAGAGAGTATCGAGGAGGTGAATGTATTCAGATATTTGGGAGTGGACATGTCGGCGGATGGGTCTATGAAAGATGAGGTGAATCATAGAATTGATGAGCGGAAAAGAGTGAGCGGTGCACTTAGGAGTCTGTGGAGACAAAGAACTTTGTCCTTGGAAGCAAAGAGGGGAATGTATGAGAGTATAGTTTTACCAATGCTCCTGTATGGATGTGAAGCATGGGTGATGAATGTTGCGCCGAGGAGAAGGCTGGAGGCAATGGAGATGTCATGTCTGAGGGCAATGTGTGGTGTGAATATAATGCAGAGAATTCTTAGTTTGGAAGTTAGGAGGAGGTGCGGGATTACCAAAACTGTTTTCCAGAGGGCTGAGGGAGGGTTGTTGAGGTGGTTCGGACATGTAGAGAGAATCGAGCGAAACAGAATGACTTCAAGAGTGTATTAGTCTGTAGTGGAAGGAAGGCAGGGTAGGGGTCGGCCTAGGAAAGGTTGGAGGGAGAGGGGTAAAGGAGGTTTTGTGTGCGAGGGGCTTGGACTTCCAGCGGGCATGCATGAGCGTGTTTGATAGGAGTGAATGGAGACAAATGGTTTTTAATACTTGACGTGCTGTTGGAGTGTGAGCAAAGTAACATTTATGAAGGGATTCAGGGAAACTGGCAGGCCGGACTTGAGTCCTGGAGATTGGAAGTACGGTGCCTGCACTCTGAAGGAGGGGTGTTAATGTTGCAGTTTAAAAACTGTAGTGTAAAGCACCCTTCTGGCAAGACAGTGATGGAATGAATGATGGTGAAAGTTTTTCTTTTTCGGGCCACCCTGCCTTGGTGGGAATTGGCTAGTGTGTTAATAAATAAATAATAAAATATGATAGAATGGATAGGGAAGCAATGTGGCAGATGTTGCAAGTATGTGGAATAGGTGGTAAGTTACTAAATGCTGTAAAGATTTTTTATGAGGATAGTGAGGCTCAGGTTAGGGTGTGTAGAAGAGAGGGAGACTACTTCCCGGTAAAAGTAGGTCTTAGACAGGGATGTGTAATGTCACCATGGTTGTTTAATATATTTATAGATGGGGTTGTAAAGGAAGTAAATGCTAGGGTGTTCAGGAGAGGGGTGGGATTAAATTTTTGGGAATCAAATTCAAAATGGGAATTGACACAGTTACTTTTTGCTGATGATATTGTGCTTATGGGAGATTCTGAAGAAAAATTGCAAAGGTTAGTGGATGGGTTTGGAAGAGTGTGTAAAGGTAGAAAGTTGAAAGTGAACTTAGAAAGAGTAAGGTGATGAGGGTATCAAATGATTTAGATAAAGAAAAATTAGATATCATATTGGAGAGTAGGAATATGGAAAAAGTGAATGTTTTCAGATATTTGGGAGTTGACGTGTCAGCTGATGGATTTATGAAGGATGAGGTTAATCATAGAATTGATGAAGGAAAAAAGGTGTGTGGTGCGTTGAGGTATATGTGGAGACAAAGAACGTTATCTATGGAGGCAAAGAAGGGAATGTATGAAAGTATAGTGGTACCAACACTCTTATATGGGTGTGAAGCTTGGGTGGTAAATGCAGCAGCAAGGAGGCAGTGGAGATGTCCTGTCTAAGTATTAGTCAGAGAGCCGAAGAGGGGTTGTTGAGGTGGTTTGGTCATTTAGAGAGAATGGTTCAAAGTAGAATGACATGGAAAGCGTAAAATCTATAGGGGAAGGAAGGAGGGGTAGGGGTCGTCCTCGAAAAGGTTGGAGAGAGGGGGTAAAGGAGGTTTTGTGGGCAAGGGGCTTGGACTTCCAGCAAGCGTGCGTGAGCGTGTTAGATAGGAGTGAATGGAGACGAATGGTACTTGGGACCTGACGAGCTTATATATATTGTAGACGTTTCGCCATCCAGTGGCTTTATCAATACAAATTCTAGGACATAACTTGAAGACAGTAGAACTATGTACAGAAGATGAGGTAATCAGTCCCTCAACCTGGGAGTAGGTGCGAAGAGCACCATAGTCGTGGAGATTCTGAAGCAGAAGAAAGGATCCTGGCGCTTATATAGTAACGTCAGGTGTAGCAGACGAGGGCATATTCACTGGTAGGCAGGATTCCCCAGTGGAAGTAGGTCCTTCCCAAAGAGATGGGTTAGTTGTAGTTGTAGGTTGAGGGACTGATTACCTCATCTTCTGTACATAGTTCTACTGTCTTCAAGTTATGTCCTAGAATTTGTATTGATAAAGCCACTGGATGGCGAAACGTCTACAATAAAGATACCCAGATGTTGCACATGTGTCTTAATCTCATTTTGTCGGTATTGTATACCATCCGTATATACCAATGCTCTTGTATGGGTGTGAGGCATGGGTGGTGAATGTTGCAACAAGGAGAAGGCTGGAGGCAGTGGAGATGTTGTGTCTTAGGGCAATGTGTGGTGTGAATATAATACAGAGAACCCATAGTTTGGAGATTAGGAGGAGGTGTGGGATTACCAACACTATTATCCAGAGGGCTGAGGAGTGGTTATTGAGATGGTTTGGGCATGTAGAAAGGATGGAATTAAGAAGAATGACTTCGAAAGTCTATATATTTGTAGTGGAAGACAGGTTAGGGGTCGGCCAAGGAAAGGTTGGAGGGAGGGAGGGAGTAAAGGAGACAAATGGCTTTTAGGACTTGATGTGCTGTTGGAGTGTAAGCAAGACAACATTTATGAAGGGACTCAGGGAAACTGGCAGGCCAGACTTGATTCCTGTAGATGGGAAGTTCAGTGTCTACACTCTGAAGGAGGAGTGTTTATGTTGCAGTTTTATAACTGTAGTGTAAATGCGCCTCTGGCAAGACAGTAATGGAGTGAATGATGATGAAAGGTTTTCTTTTTCGGGCCACCCTTCCTTGGTGGGAGATGGCCGATGTATTAATTAAAAATATATATATATATATATATATATATATATTATATATATATATATATATATATATATATATTATATATATATATATATATATATTTTATATATATATTATATATATATATTATATATATATATATATATATATATATATATATATATATATATTATATATGGAAGTTAGGAGGAGGTGCGAGATTACCAAAACTGTTGTCCAGAGGGCTGAGGAAGGGTTGTTGAGGTGGTTTGGACATGTAGAGAGAATGGAGCGAAACAGAATGACTTCAAGAGTGTATCAGTCTGTAGTGGAAGGAAGGCGGGGTAGGGGTCGGCCTAGGAAAGGTTGGAGGGAGGGGGTAAAGGAGGTTTTGTGTGCGAGGGGCTTGGACTTCCAGCAGGCATGCGTGAGTGTGTTTGATAGGAGTGAATGGAGACAAATGGTTTTTAATACTTGACGTGCTGTTGGAGTGTGAGCAAAGTAACATTTATGAAGGGATTCAGGGAAACCGGCAGGCCGGACTTGAGTCCTGGAGATGGGAAGTACAGTGCCTGCACTCTGAAGGAGGGGTGTTAATGTTGCAGTTTAAAAACTGTAGTGTAAAGCACCCTTCTGGCAAGACAGTGATGGAGTGAATGATGGTGAAAGTTTTTCTTTCTCGGGCCACCCTGCCTTGGTGGGAATCGGCCAGTGTGATAATAAAATAAAATATAAATAAATATTATATATAAATATATATATAATATAATATATATATATTATATATATATATATATATATATTTTATATATATATATATATTATATATAATATATATTAATAACACATCGGCCATTAGCATTAACATGCTAATTCACATATAGTTATGTTTTAACAATGGTTTACCTTATCATAATGTGAGCAGATCTCGTCGTAGATGGCAGTGACTTTGGTCGGGTTTATTCCTGGGTTGATCTGATCAATAAGCCAATTGACAGAGACTTCATCTTTTTCGCTTCTCTTATCCATCTGCGTCAGAAGAGAAAATTCAATTGACATGTACATTTTCTATGAGAAATGTTCATTTACATATTTCTGCTGTAACAGTCACTAAATATAATAGTCTAAATAGTTTATTGATCTACAAAGGCTTCTACAATAACATTTTTCGGCATAATAAAAAAAAAAAATTACCCTAGACTACATATTTTATATAATAACCAATAAAGGTTTGTTAAGTTCATCTACTTTACCTATGGAACTCCTCTTACATTCGTCTGTAATATGAAACTCGTTGATGAGTTATTTAATTGATAGACATAAATAGCCTATATTATGTAACATTATAAATCTTTGATTTTCTGAGGTGAGGCGTGTACATGTACAAATTATTTGGCATTTTTTGGAGGGCATCAAATATTTCTTTATAATGAACCAAGTTTAAAGTCCACAAGCCCCTCGAATATTCAGTGTTTGACTACCAGTTGTAACAGCAACCAATCAGGTTGAGGGGTTGACCCCCAGGTGACCTGACATTTTCACCTACCCTCTGGTCTGAAGAACAGTCTCTCACTAACTCTTCAGTGAGCAAAGTCACTTTGCTTTCTCTCGTAGCAAGGGTTTTAAATTGATAAAATTCAGATTCATGAAGGATACAGGAAAGCACTGGTTTGGTAATAAAGTTGTGGATGATTATAACAAATTCCCGAGTACCGTCAAAGAAGCTAAGACGTTGTGTAGTTTTAAAAGTAAGTTGGATAAATACATGAGTGGGTGTGAGTTGGACCTGACTAGCTTGTGCTACTAGGTCGGATGTCATGCTACCCATGTAATAGCTTTTATAACCTTTAACTCATATGCAAGTTGATTGTTCTACCATATTGTATTATTACTACTATAACTAATATTATTACTATCACTACTAATATTACACCTCACTCTAAGCCTATATATACTCTCATTGCTCATGCATTATTTGTAACGGCTTTATAAAGCTCCTGGAGACCGAAACGTTGCCACAATGAAGTGTCAAATTAGCTGCACTTGTGTTCTTTTAAACCCTACCCCGGCCGGGATTGAACTCGCGGTGAAAGAGTCTCAAAACTCCAGACCGTCGCGTTAGCCACTAGACCAGCTAGCCACAATAAGATTCATCCAACTAGGTGGTGCCTGTGCTAACCTTCCTCTGGTGTAGAAATATACCTAGTTGGACGAATCTTATTGTGGCTAGCTGGTCTAGTGGCTAACGCGGCGGTCTGGAGTTTTGAGACTCTCTGACCGCGGGTACAATCCCGGCCGGGGTATGGTTTGCTTACAATCGTGTCATTACCATTTCGTGAGTCATGTACTTTTACTTTACAACGTTCTTTGTCTCCACATATACCTCAATGAATCACTCACCTTTTTTTTTATTCAATTCTATGGTTAACCTCATCCTTCATAAGCCCATCAGCTGACAAGTCAACTCCAAAATATCTGAAAGCATTCACTTCTTTCATACTCCTTCTCTCCAATGTTATATCCATTTTTCTTCATCTATTTTCACTTTCAACTTTCTGCCTTCACACACTCTCCTAACCTTTGCAACTTTTCTTTAGAATCTCCCATAAGCACAGTATCATCAGCAAAAAGTAACTGTGTCAACTCATATTTTGTATTTGATTCCTCATAATTTAATCCCACCCCACTCCCGAACACCCTAGCATTTACTTCTTTTACAACCCCATCTATAAATATATTAAACAACCATGGTGACATTACGCATCCCTGTCTAAGACCTACTTTTACTGGGAAATAATCTCCCTCTCTTCTACACACCCTAACCTGAGCCTCACTATCCTCATACAGTAAATACTATTCACCTCTCACCCTACATAAACAGACTCGAGCAGACTTGTTTCTTTATTTTTCGTCCGATTTCGGTCATATTTGGTATACTTTAAGAAGTTTATTTGAATAATAATTTGACTAAGTTTCAATAAAACGGCCAAAAAAAATGAGAAAGAAATGTAAAAATGATGTTTGGCGTCAAAATGGCACTTACTGGCACAGCAAAAAGTGTTTTGGACTCACTACTGATAAAACAAAGTCAGTCCGATTTCTGGGTGAATATAAATATTCCAGTATACATGTTCTTCATCCCTACAGAACAAATTGGTAAGTTTTTGACATGTAGCAAAATATTTGTCCTTTACCACCACACAAATTGAAAAATAATTGAGATATTTATCAAATTTTTACACAAAATTTCGAGCATGCATTTGTTTATGTTTGGTGTGAAAATCATTTCAATCCGTCCATTATTAATGGAACAGATCAATATTTTACTTCTGAGATATCCAGATAATCGGGGTAAGTGCGCACATAGGAATATAACTCGGAAATAAATAGCGAAAAATCTCGCTATTTTTACGTTTTTTCTTATAATATGGGAGATCTAGGAGAGTTTGTCCTGATGTTATTTAACAACGTTTTCTTTCTTTATAGACCAGAGGTACAAATAAGAGAACTTATTTATCTGATGATCTTATCCCAGAGCTGCAGCTGCTGCCGCCTATCCCACTAACATAATGTGGTAAATATTATTAATTTTGGAGTCTTTATTGTAGTTCTGGGGTATTTATCGTGTGTATGATATCAATTTGGAATAAATGTGATAGGTTGATAACCTTTATTACTAATGTTAGTGTTGAATTCATATTATTATGTGAGCAAATCACATGCAGCGTGCCAGCGTGCCCCGTTGTGCTACGTGTTTTCTCGTGTTTTCACGGTCGCTCTTACGTGCTAGAACTTTAATTTGTGCCATCTGTCTTGTACGATACATCCCTCTAGCGCCTGGAACCAATCTTGGGCGGAAGACATTATATACTGAGTCAAAAAAGGAGAATTAGTGTGCACTACCTAGCAAAGTTTACTGCCAGAGGGGAATAGGCCTAGTGTGCCGTTTGCAAAATAATAATAATAATAGAACTTTTCTTTGTCAGAGGAAAGAAAGTCTCCCTGATAATATTGTGTATACATAGTGTATAGTGTATACTACAGTGGCTCCCTAGTATAGATAATAGAATATAGATAATAAAGGCTAAAGTGCCATTTGAAAACAGGTGAATTTGTAAATGAAGTGATAAGCCTATAGAGGCAGGTGCCAGAAGTCTCCAGAAACTTACCACAGGTCAGCTGCTTTAAATTTTCCTGGCATGCTAGTGTACTCGCATATAAGCTAGGGATACCAGTGATTAGCAGAATACAGTGTTGTAGTAGCAACTAACCAGTGTTGTAATAGTACTTTGTGGAGTGGAGTGACTTTCATTAGTTTCTATTATTCTTGAAATACCAGACGTATACTGTGAATTTCATATAACCTGTAGTTACCAGCGGTCGCAATATACACAACGAGAAGCAAATATTACTACAGAAAAAGCGACCTTCCTCCAAAATTTCCACCAGTCAACTATAGTGATAATATAGCATTTATTGTGGTGGAGACGGAAAAAGCCTAGAAAAGCAAGATACAGTGATTGATAAACAAGGGTTGAGGTCGACCATTCGTCACTGTAGGATATGCCAGCAATCACTGGTTCATCAACACGCAAGTTATACTTTTTGTATTAATCAAATCACATATTACTCGGGTAGATAACTTCCAGTAGATCCTTCATGTGTTAGCCCAAATCACCGACCAGTATGTTTTAAATAAGTGACCCACTGATCAGATCAGAATGGTTCAGAACCCTCGACTGGTCCGAACCCTCGACCGATTTCAAACGGATTCGTTGGACAATAAAGCAGACTGTAAACGGATGGGTTGTACGCGCCCTTATAAACACAAACAATAAATACAAAAACGGAGCGTACTCCAGAAAGCTGTCCTAACATACAAGTACAGTTAGAAATAGAAATACAAATAGCTAGAGCTTCACTTTAAGGAGGTTATTAATAGATTATTCAAGAGGTTGCTAGTAGAATTACAGTAATTCAACCATTCAAATCATTATGAAGCCCAGTGTAGTCTGCAATCAATCAAACAAACGGGCTTCCACATGGATAATTTGTCATTTTTGTGGAAATTGGTGTCACGCACCTTGTGCAAATATCCAAGAACTAGCTACAAGAAGTATTAAAACAGGGAAGTGTTTTTGGGTATGTCCAAATGAGATAAATCTGTGGACTAATATCACAAGGGTATTAAAAGAGGATAACATCAAAGCTGCTTTCATAGACAACCTGGAAGCCTTCTACAACAGATGGGAACATAGAAAGTCTGGGCTGGATGGTACTGCCCTTGATGCTGGTCATGTAGACAGAAACTGTAAGACTGGAGGTGATGTCCTGGTTGTCAGTAAATGTGGGGCTCATACTGCTGTCCTGGTAGACAGTAATGGTGAAGCTGGAGGTGCTGTCCTGGGAGACAGTAATGGTGAAGCTGGAGATTTTGTCCAGGTAGTCGGGAATTGTACGCAGGATGGAATGCATATAAATGACCTCATGGGAGACAGGAGCCGTAGTGGGGAATCAAGTGTAGTCAAAGATAAGATAAAACCAATATTGCAAACTAGAAATACCACAGGAAATAGCAAACAAGAGGACTCCACTAGCAATAGTGAGGATATATTACCAAAAACAACTGGTGGGAGCTCCTTTGTTGGTGCTAGGGAGGATAGGAATAAGACAGGTAAACATGCACCAACAGGGAATACAGTCACAGAAACCCAAGGCAAACATGCACCAACAGGGAATACAGTCACAGAAACCCAAGGCAAACGGAAACCAAGCCTGTGCACATACTATGCACTTGGTATCTGCAGGCATGGGAAATCTGGAAAAACATATGGGACGTGCAACTATGACCACCCTAGAAAATGCCATGCCCATATGACAACAGGAAAATGCAAACTCCCTTCCTGTAAGCTTTTTCACACTGAAATGTGTCCCTCTTCAGTACAGGAAAGACTGTGCTATAACTTAAATTGCCAGGCACACCATCTAAAGGGGACATAAAGATACAAAACATCCAGGCCATGGGAAAA